ACAGGGTAAAAAGATCCCAAAGAAATGTAGCCAGTTTCTTGGCTAAAAGTCAAAATGTCCTTGGGCTTGTTAGCAACATACTCTGTTCCAAAGGCCAAAAATGTCAAAAGTATTTGGGAGCTTGTATCTAATCCTTAAAAGATTTTAGGGTTACTTCTTCAGAGGGGGGAATGTTGGAGGGGAGGGAGTGATCAAAACACTTTATATGCATATATGAAATTCTCAGTAAAGTTTTTGTAAAAATTTTTTTAAAAAGATACTGAATTAGTAATATATAACTTCCTCCAGTAAAAGGTATTTAAAAGTATGGAATGTGTGGGTGTGGTGGTGTACACCTTTAATCCCAGCACTTGGGAGGCAGAGGCAGGCAAATCCCTATGAGGCCAACCTGGTCTACATAGTGAGTTCCAGGCCAGCTGGGTCTATAGGAAGACCCTGTCTCAAAAAGACCAAAAAAAAGAAAAAAAAAGTATGGAATGTGTGTGACATGAGTGCACTTACATACATGCAGGCCACTCGGAATGTGTATAACATGAGCGTACTTACATGCATGCAGGCAATACACTCATATACATAAAGTAAATAATAGTGAAAATAAAATACATTTTTTGAAAGTATGGAACGCTTCACCCATTTGCATGTCATCCTTGAGCAGAGGCCATGCTAATCTTTCTGTGTCATTCTAGTTTTTGTCTATGGGCTGTAAAAGTAAGTACTTTTTTCTTAAGTCCTGTTCTTCCTACTTCATTACCATAAATTATCACTAGACTGGACTTGAAATTATGAACTCATATGTTTGTTGTTCTAGCAAATGTTTGTCACATTTATTCCTTACCAATCATGGTCTACATTTGGAGGAGATATGAAGAATGTGGTTGGAAATCATGAGAGGGTGTGGCTGTACATCTAAATTTGGAAATTATAAATGATGAAGTGATATTTAAAGCCATGTGTCTGTGTCTGGATGACACTACTTAGGGTAGAGTGCAAGGCTACCATAGGAGAGGTCAGATGACTGAACCCTGCAGTAGTAAAAACTTTGGAAGGCAGATAGATGAAAGTAGCTTAGCTAACTAGAATGGATGAGAGAGCCAGTGAGGATGTGTTGCAGAGGACAAGTCAAGATCCTGTAGGGAGAGGAGAAATATGTATGCTATGGGAGTTGCTGTTGGTAAGATCAAGTCACATAAACACTGAGAAATAAGTACTGGATTTGCCAATGTGATGATTGTTGGCAGCCTTGAAGGAAAAGAAATAGAAAAGTTAGACTTACTTTTTAAAGATGGAGTCTCACTATATAGGCCTTACTGGCCTGGAACTTGCTATGTAGATAGACCAGAATGGCCCAAAAATCATAGAGATCTGCCTCCCTCTTTCTCCCAAGTGCTGGGATTAAAGGCATGTGCCACCGAACCTGGCCCTAGATGTTTTTTTAATGAACTTTGGGGCTAGGGAGATGACCCACTAAAGTTCTTGTCAGGCAAGCATGAGGACTTGAGTTTGGATGTACCCATGTAAAAAGCCAGATGTGGTGGTACATGCCTAAAATCCTAGGGCTGGGGATGCAGAGACAAGAGGATCCCTAGAGCTCACCTGCCAGCCACTCTTGCTGAATCAGTGGAACTCCATGTTCAGTGAGAGAACTTGTGTGAAAAAATAAGATGGAGAGCAACAGAGGAAGACACTTAACATTGACCTTTGGCCTCCACATGCATGTGCATGCACTCACACATACACATGCGTTTGCCATCAACACATACACATGCATATACTACCACCCAAAAAAACTGAATACATTTTTAGGGCAGTATTAGATGGTGGCTGGAAGGCAAAGCAAAGTCATAGGAGGCTTGTTTGTTTTGAGATGGGAAATTTTATAGCAAGTTTGTAAGCCAAAGGGAAGCAAGGGAAATTGACAATGTAGGCGAGAGAAGGGAGGAGCAATGTGTCCCTTGTAGGTGGGATTCGGTGCACAAATGAAAGATGGCCTTAGGTAGAAGCAGAGCATTCATCTGTAGTGACAGAAAGTAAGCAGCGCTGTAGGTATATTCAAATGTCATGAAGTAATTCTTAAATGCTCATGAAGTGTAGGGCATCTTTCCTATAAAAACATTAAGGAAACATGTATCAATGTAAAGAAGTTTCCATAGATATATGACTAGCTTACCCAGTGTCTCTTTTTTGTGTATCACTGTTTAGCATCTTGTAGTTTATTAGTATACTGTGTCGTTCTGTTTAGTAATCAGTTATATCAGAATATGATATTGGAAAAACTATTTTTTAGTAAGCATTCCTTCTTATGCCCCTTAGCTCAAATTATAGACTCCTCATAGGTAATTGCTTTCATTTATAATTGAAGTGTTCCTGAGCCATACTGAACAATTCCTAAAATAATCCTGAAGAGTAATGCATGGTGAGGGTATGCTATGCTCTGTATGTAATGAGAGCCTCACAGTGACTCATAGAAGACTTACCTGCTGGGGCACACTGGGAGTGGTATCTCTTTAGTGACACATTCCACATTATAGTTCAGATAATTCACATTTTCACATTTTCTATGCACAGACTTAAAATTTTTCAAGTGAAGCTATGGTATGCTTGAACATTAAAATTTTACATTAAAATATTTTTATTGTGTTTGTATGTATTGTGTGCATGATAGGGGGTAGGTGCATCCATTACTGTGTACATGTGGAGACAATGTACAATTTCTCTCCTTCATTGCTTGGGAATCAACTTCCAGACCCATGTGGTTATCAGTGCTCAGTTTCTTGAAGACTGCTGCACTGAGGGTTTGAGTTTCTTGCTGGTTGTGGAACTCCTTGCTCTATAGCCCTCTCCAAATGTCAGCAAACAACATGGTGGCTTGTTTCTTAAAAGCCCAAAGGGAAGAGGGTCTCCTCCAAGATAGGCATTGCAGTGTGTGTAATGCAGTCTTGGGAAGGGTCATTCTCTCTCTCTTGGTTAGAAAGTAAGTTGCAGGCCTCATCCACACAGTGGGAGGAGCTCACCCAAGGGCACAAACACTAGAAATGGGGGCCCTAGGGACCACCATAATCTGTCTACAGCTACAATTTATTTGCTGTTTCTTAAGATGGGATACATGTTTATTTCATTCAGTAATTTTTACTACTTGTTTAGATTCAGTAATAATTTTGGACTTTAAATTTTTCTTAACAGAGTCTGTTGGCCGGGATATCCCCCAAATGCTTGAATTATTTAAAGCTGGACATGAAATTATGGTAGATGAAGAAAGGCAGAACTTCCTCAGCACTAAAATAGCAACAGTAAGTTATAGTTCATAAATAATGTGCCAGGCATTTGATCTTGCTTTTGAAACTTGTATTATGAGTAGCATTAAGTACATACCTAGAGAATATTTTTATCCTATAAATTGGACTTAAAAATATTTAATGATAGTTGAGAATGTCTTCCAGAGAGAACCAACTCCTGCAGTTGTCCACTGACCTCCACAGCACTCCATGGCACAGGTGGTCCATTCTCCCCCCTTCCCCCATTAAATAAATGTTAAAAAAAAATTAAGAGAATTTCTTCCTTCTAGAGTTATGTATTGGTCACTAGCCTTTATTTGTATTTTGCCTTATTTATCTATTCTAAGAATATGGGTTTGATTTGTTTGTTTATTTGTGGTTTATTATGTTTGTTTAAGACAGGGTCTCATTATGTAGCCCTGGTTGATCTGGAACTTGCTATGTAGACCAGGCTAGCCTGGAACTTAAACATCCACTTGCTTCTGCCTCCCAAGTGCTGGAACTGAAGGTGTGCACTGCTGCTTGGCTTTGTTTGTTGTTATTGTGACTTTCTAATATTTTAGGTTTATTAAGAGTAGTTAAGGCTTAGATCTTACATAGCCTATAAAAAGCATTGCATATTACTGAACACATAGTAGATATTAAGTACTATATGATGGAAAACTTTGCTTTATTTCATTGAATTGTCTCTGCTTATTTCTGTTTGTGTTTTATAAGTTGTTTACGTACTTAAAAATGCTGAATGTCAGTTTCCAGTACCAATTTTAGGACACTAATACAGACAGATATATTAGAATTAGAAAACTGTGTTTTTAAATAAGTATTAGACTCATTAAAGTTATATTTGCAAGTGTTCTTTTACTAAAGAATCACTAAAGTGCCTATTCATGTAATTTTTTCTCTATTCATAACTATAGGAATATTGATAGAAAATTTTAAATAATGCTTTCCAAGTGTCTAGTGCTATTCGAAACACTTTTTTGTATATTTAGTTTTATAATCCTCAAGCGTATGAGGTAAAATCATCACCACATTTTATATATGAAAACACAGAAGCCCAGAGAGGCTGGAAACTTTTCCAAGATCTCACAGGTGAAATGAGGCAAAATGGGTAGGTATTTGGACCTTGGCAATATCTGCAAGCATCTAGGGTCTTTACCCTGGCCACAAAATTGAAATTATTTGAATAGCTGTTATATTTCTTTCTCTCCTCCTAGTTTACTCTTAAGAGGAATTTTATATTATATCCACTAGCTGTAGCGCAAGCAAATTGAACCATGTCAGCTATAGATCGTCAGAGATCTAGAAAAAAAGCCCTGTTAGTTTTACAGTGAGAAAACTTGCCTTAGAAAGGAAGCAGAGCAGATCTAATGCAGAGATTGCTGAAGTCTCTCTTGTCGCATTATCTTCAAAGCTCAGTTCTCATGTACTTGGCCTGAACTCTGCTAGACTCTGATGTTGAAATTTCTTTGTTCCCAAAGGCCCTTGGCAGTGCTTCTTGTTTCTTAAGGTTGACAGTCTTGTGATCTAAAACACAAACAAAAAACCCAAATGCAAAACTTGAGGGCTATTCTGGAGCTATAGAGACTTGAGTTTGATACTTGTCTTGCTACTTAAGGGATAGCAGACTTTAAGCAAGTTTCTCAATGTTGTGTTTCAAATTTCCGCATCTATAGCATGTGTATAGTAATGCCTATTTCACAATATAGTTTTGAAGATTAGATAAAATCTTAACATAGTAACATCTGTTGTTGGTGTTATTGTTTTGTCATTTGGGACTATAGAATATCCTTGCAAAACTCTTAATAGCTGAATTAAATCTGCTTTTTCATGAGTTGTATTTTCCATTATATTCAGTAGTTAATAGTTTAATAGGTCCCAAAGTATAAAACCATAGGTACTCACTTTTTTTCAAGAGATAATAATAGTGATTAAGATATGGGTTCTGGACCAGACTATTTGAATTATTTAGGATTTTTTTGTCCTAAAAAAAAAGGTGTTTATATGCTTAAAGAAAATCTGCTGGAATACTACTTAATTGTTACACCATAGTAGGAGATAAGTGGAATAGAGTTTAGAGTCATATCATTTTGATTCAAATCTTATTTCAAGCTTAAAAACAAAACACAACTGTGGGGCTGGAGAGATGACTCAGTGGTTAATAGTTCTGGCTGCTCTTGCAGAGGACTCAGGTTCAGTTCCCAGGGCCCATGGGGTGGCTAACAACCATGTGTAACACCAGTTCCAGGGAATCCTATGCCCTCTTCTGATCTTCATGGGCATTGCTTGCATGTTATGCACTTACCATATATATAGGCAAAACATTCATATAGAAAATAAAAACAAAAAACAAAACCTAATTGTGTCCCATTGCATTCCAGGCTCTGTTTTCCCCTATATTCCTCTGTTTGTCCATATGTAAAATGATAATAATGGCAAGTACTACCAAGGCTAGGAAGGAGAAGATGAGATAATAACATAATTATGTAGCAGAATACTTCTGCCTAAGATGAAATAATAAACGTGATTTACCTCTCCACCCAAAACAGTGAGCAGTACGTAGAAAACTAAACTAGACAAAGAAAACTACAGTGTAAAACCATCGATTAATATAGGTATAAAAATTTTAATCAAGTTTTAACAACTAGAATCCAGCAGTATATACAAATGATATATTTTGACTGCCGTAGTCCATTTTCTAATGCTGTACCAGAAAACGTAAGACTGGAAGATTTATTAGAACAATAGAGGTTTTTGTTGGCTCAAGGCTCTGGAAGCTGGGAAGTTCAAGAACATCGTGTTGGTATATGGTTAGAACTTGATACTGCATCATAACATGGCAGAAAAATGGAAGGGTAGGCAAACAAGCACATGCTAAAGAGGTAAGACATGGGAAGGTGTCTTGCTTTATAACAACTCTTTCTCTGGAGAATGAATGTACTCCTGTAAGAATGGTTATAAGAAACTGGTTTCCTTTACATTCTTCTGGACTTGGCAGCAAGTTAAAGGGAATCTGACTTCTTAAGCAATGAAAAGATGGTTGAGGAAGTCCTGGTAATGATTTCACTTGAGTTATTTGGTCTGTCTTACCCTTGAGACAGATGTAAGAGATAGAGACTTTATGTCTCTGGTGCCTGTGATGGCTAATCCTGGGTGTCAACTTGACTGGATCTGGGATTAACTGAAATGAAAGAGATCTTCTTGATTGGATCATCTGAAGCTGGAAGACACACCCTAATGTGGGTGTTACCTTCTGATGGCAGCCCATATAAAGCCATGGCAGAGGAGAGCACTTGCTTTTTGCCGCTTGCCTTCTCGCTGGTGAGTTCCTCTTGCTGCTGTAGACTGAAGTCTAGCCGATCTTTTGGAATTCATCAGACCTTCAGCACCAGATTGGGACTACTTAGACATCCATCCTCGTGGTCTGAGCGACTACCGGATTCTCAGCCTCTCCAGTGTGGTGCAGCCATTGTTGGAGTACTTAGGCTCTATCCTGTGAGCTAATCTGATAAATCTACCCACCCATCCATCCATCCATCTATCCGTACATACATACATACATATACATATACATATATATGTATGTATGGATGGATATATGTATGTATTCATTGTACTGGTTCTGTTTCTTTAGAGAACCCTGACTAATGTAAGGACTAAGGCTGGGAGGTGCTCAGTTGGCACAGTGCTTGCTGTACAAGCATGAGAACCTAAGTGTGGCATGTATCTGTATTCCCAGTGCTGGGGAGACATTGACAGGAGGATTCCTAGAGCTTGCCAGCCTAGCCAAATTGGTGAGCTCTGGTTCCAGTAAAATTAAGGGGGAGGATGGTTGAGGAAGCCACCCATGTTGATCCCTGGCATTCATACACATGCACACACATGTATATACCTATATACAAATGTGTTTACATATGAATACATACTCTACATATACACACTCGAAATACAAAGGATCTACAAAAGTCAAAACAACTTTGAAAAACAAAGTTGAAGATTTACTTGATTTCATGATTTATAAAGTTATGGTAATGGCAAAACATTGTGGTATTGGCATCTAGAAATAAAAGTCAGTAGAAAAGAATAGCAAATCAGAAAAGAGATTTTAAAAAGTATATGAACAACTGATTTTTCAACCATGTAAAAAGACACTTTAGGTGGATAAACCATGTTCTTTTCAAGAAAAGATTCCAGAACAGTTTGATAGCTATCTGCCATAAATCAACATTGACTGCTATTTTTAAAAAATTAGGTTAAGGATTTTTTTTTAAGATGTGACTCCAAAAATGTGACATATAGAAGAACTTGATAAGTGTGCTGTCTAAAAATCAAAAGTTCTTGGTCTTTAAAAGACATTGTAAAGAAAATGAAAATATCATAGGTTGTGAAAAGTATCATATCTGATAAATCCTAAGTACTTTAAAGCTTTCCAAACTCAGTTAAAGCTACCCATTTAAAAAAAAATTGGCAGAAGATTTGAACACATAAGAGACAGGACAGATAACAAATATGAAATGATGGTCAACATCTTTAGTCATGGGGGCAATGTCAATTAAAACAATTCGCTATCACTGCATATCTGCTGGATGAGTAAAACTAGAAAATAATAGCCATACCAAGTATTGGTGAGGTTGTAGAGGGACTGAACCACTCATACACTGTGGGGACACTCATATAGTTTGTTTAGTGATGCAGCCTCATTGGCAAGCAATTTGATAATTTGTGAAGAAGTTGAACATAATCCTGCTAAACAATCCTGCTATTCTACTTTTAGATGTGTATCCAGGAGAAATGAAAACATGTATTCAAAAAAAATGGAAATAGGTGTGTTTATAATCACAATTGAAACATTCTGATTATATAACACAGGATACAAATTAACAAAAAATTCTTTAGTAGTAATAAGAAATAAAACTCCATATATACTAGTGTAATGTTGAACATAATGCTGAATGAGAAAAGCTAGAAAAAAGGAGTACATATTGTTTTGTTTTGTGTTGATCTTTTTGACACAG